GCTTCTTCTGCTCAACCCGCTGCAGATCGGAAGCCCTTCGCCGTTCTCTTCGTCTGCCTTGGTAATCAAATTTTGGCGAAGTTTAGGGGTTTAGGTGCATTTTTGGTCTATTTTGATTATTGTGTTTTTTTTTTCGGTGGGAATTTGAAGGGAATATTTGCCGGAGTCCAGCAGCGGAGGCTGTGTTTAGGGATTTGGTTCAGAAGAGAGGACTGGAATCTCGCTTCAAGATCGACTCGGCTGGCACCATTGGTTATCATGAAGTAATTTCTATGCTCTTCAGCAATCAAAAATTATATATATTTTTTGAAGGAAAAATGACTTCTTTTTAGGGTTAATTGCATACTGCATTATTATGGTGGCATACGTCATAAATATTTTATTAGCACCGACACCCAGCCCCAATTGCTTGCCCCTTTGTTTAACTGAAAGAAGAGCAAATTGCCCTTTAAATTGAGTGGAAAATTGTAATGTCGCCTGAGATACAGGTGTAAGAGCTAACAAAGTTGTTTAGAGGGGTATAAGTGGCTATAAGGGGGTGCATATGCAATTAACCCGGCGAATTATTTCAAATTTTCCATTTTTATGCTTTGATATGGTTTTGAAGGGTAATCCAGCAGACTCGCGGATGAGGGCAGCATCTAAGAGGCGTGGGGTTGAGGTAACTTCAATTTCGAGGCCCCTACGGCCATCGGATTTTAAGGAGTTTGATCTCATTCTTGCTATGGACATGCAAAATAGAGGTGAAATATTATGTCTTTTTCTAAAGTTAAGTGTAGGAAGTGGAGTAGTTTCTACGGAACTGATATTTGTAGCTTGTTGAGTAGAGGATATATTGAGTGCTTACGAGAGATGGAGCTTTAAGGAGTCACTTCCAGCCGATGCCCAAAAAAAGGTTAGTGGTAGTATTTGATACTGAAACATTACTTAGCGGGTTTAATTATTTTTTGTGCTTTGTCTCAATTTATGTGCTTAAATGTGCTTATTCTTAGAAGTCCTTCTGCTATTTTCTGAAACAATATAATAGTTTAAATACAATTAAACGTTTATATGACTATTTTCTCATGTCATAGCACGTCTGTCTTGGCCCCTGTAGGGCCATAGTAAATTATTGACAACAGAAATGATGTGGAGATTTTTTATGAGAAATATCACTCAAACAATGATGTAACAACAAAAATGCTTGCATTCCACCTTCTCATCGTCTATAATGGAATGTAATGCAAATATCTAACGAACAGTGCACAATATACCAATCACCAGGAATGAGAAAAAAAAGGTGGCATAAACATGTATTTGTCGTTGTGAGATAACTATGTTACCCAAGTATTAACCTTAATCCCCTCACCTTCCCAAAGTAAGACTAAGAAAGTAACAAATGTACCAAAAACTGGACATTATGTACAATGTCGTTAATCATCTGAAAACTACTTTATTCTTTTATTTTTTGGTATATACTTACACCTGCTATTATGAACAGCTAGCATGTGTTGAAGGAATAAAATGCCATATTCATTGAGGATGTGCACCAATGACTAGGACGGGTTTTTGACTATTTATTCTTGATCACATGGGTTTTGAGCTTATGGTCCAACTATAGATGAAATAATAACAAAATTAGCTGCCAAACATCATTGTTTCTTTCAGCTGGCTTTCAAGGCTAACATGGATTAAATCTGCTTGAGTAACTGCTCAACTTTCGTTCTATTTGGATCTTTTGTTGGCCTGAATTGTTGATCCATTGAAATCCTATTGAAATTTTTTATTCATACTCATTACAGGTAGACAATGAACTGCACTTTACCATGTTTTTCGGAAATATTTCAAACGTTGGTTAATTGGAAAATGCCTTTAGTTTACTGGCATCATATTAGCACTCTAAACTTAACATCATTCTCTATTAAATGTTTTAGTCCCAAAGTTTAATGTTGAATAATTCACTGATGTGGTGATGGTAAATACAATTAGATGCACAATGATAGAACACTTGCCTGCACCTTTTTAGTGGGTGTAGAAATAATCAAAGTCTACTTTAGTCTTCATAAGACATAATATTAAAGCCTAATTATATGTTTTGCAGGTGTTCCCATCAGTAATATGTGCAACTTATCTTGAATTCTTAAGCACCGAGTTGTCTTTGTTTTAAGTGACTTAAAACACTGCCTAGGACGAAATTTCTCATTTGTAGGAGGTTTGCACTAGATTTTACTTAGAAGAGAGGAGACATACATGGAAGCAAGGTGACTTGTATTTTTGGATGTGATTTTGCTATCAACCATGTACAGGCGTAGGATTTTGCTCTGTGCGTAGTCTAGGATCTCAGATTGGTGCATTTGGTGCATTGAAATATAATAAATTCAAGGAAATTTCTTTTCACTTTTACATGTAGTTTCTACATAGTGTGAGCAGTAGGTGAAACCGTGAAAGACATCTTAAAACTGTTCTTAATTTGCATTTTAGAGTAGGGCCTGATTGAGACTTTAGCGGTTTTTATTCTTTCCTATTGGATTTTTTCCCCTTAGGGGCTGTTTGTTTCACTAGTGGGCAAGAATAGGATTAGGAATCCGGTTTTTTTTATGGATTCCTACCTATTCCATAAAAAAATTTAAGACAAGTTTGTAGATTCATGAAATCCTTTTTTTTGCATTCTATGTTTGTTTCATAACATAAAAAAATAGAATCCAACTTTATAGAAACCCTCCAATTCCTAATCTCTAGTTTGGTTTGGAATGAGAAAATTTCTAGATAAACACTGTAGTAACGACTAGTGCCAACGGCTCGTTCAATATTCAAATCCGAAACACCGTAGCAACGGCTAGTTCCAAGGTCCTGGAGCCTATAAATTTAGCTTGAGGGCTTATTTTCCAATGCATTCTTTATTCTTACAAATTTATAAATTCTCATTGTTTGCAATTTGCCTCCCCGACATCAATATGATATCAGAAGAATGCCCCCAAAATTATGAAGTTTGTTGCGACTACAATCTCCGAACACCCATGAAACTAAATGGTAAAAATAAGGGAAGGTGTTATTAAGCGTGTGCAAAATTCCCAAAGAAAGAATGTAATTTTTTCGAATGGGCTGATGAAATAGGAGAAATAAGCAACCAAGGAAACCAATATATCAAAGAAAATAGGTACAGAGATAGATATTTTTTATTTTTTGAAATCAAAGAGGATGAAGAAAGAATTGAGACTTGTCGAAAATCAACTATTAGCTTGGAAAATGAAGAAAGAATTGAGACTTGTCGAAAATCAACTATTAGCTTGGAAAATTTCAGCAATTTTATTAGCAATTTTTTGTATTATTTTAATTATTATAAAATCAACTATTAGCTTGGAAAATTTCAGCAATTTTATTAGCAATTTTTTGTATTATTTTAATTATTATAAAACGCATGTCATGTACTTGTACTTGCAAAAACTATTGGTATTGTAATGAAAACTATTATTGGAATTGAGTACAAATTCTAGTTGATATTGTATGGCTCAGGAATAGATAAACTTGTCAAAACTGAATGCCCCACCTATAACTTACAGGTTTATTACAGATTGTATTCTAATGATGGATTACCTCGTCTAGACATTGTCAATTTAATGTAGGCTGCAATCTCATCATATTTTACCTCATCTAAATATAATAAACACTGTAAATTAGATTGCATTCTTAATAAACGCTAATCATCATCATTGTCAAATATCAACTATGGAGCACATCATGCTCTAGCCACATGTCAACCGATAGCAACATAACCCCAATGTTTGAGATCAAAACCGATAGCAGAAAAAACTGGCAAAAAAACCCAAAGCCAAATAGCTAAACAAGCTCCACCTGACAGTCAAAACCCCAACGCCAAGGAGCTACACAAGCTCAAAAAACCGATCGCAAAAAACCCATACGTAGGAGCTACATAAGCTTCACAAACTTGATGGCAAAAAAACCCAAAGCCAAAGAGCTAAACAAGCTCTACCTGACAACCAAAACCCCAAAGTCAAAGAGCTAAACAAGCTCCATCTGACAGCCAAAACCCCAAAGCCAAGGAGCTACACAAGCTCAAAAACCGACAAATTAAACCAAAACGTAGGAGCTACACTAGCTCCACAAACTTGATGGCAAAAAAATCCAAAGCCAAAGAGCTAAACAAGCTCCATCTGACAGCCAAATGTAGGAGCAACACAAGCTCAAAATCTAAGCGTAACAAACCCAAAGCAAAGGAGCAATACTAGCTCCACGTGACAACCAAAACCCCACATCAAAGGAGCAACAAATTAGCTTCACCTGTCATCAAAAGCAAAGGAGCAACATTAAGAATTCATTGGTCATGACTATCCATACTTACCTGCATCAAAAGTTAAAAAGTATCAATTCATTAATTACATGACGTCATAGCGTTTTCATAATAAGAAGTATTGCAACATTAATAGTTTGTAATAACAAAACGATATATGCGCAACAACATATACGCGTGCACAACAAAATGCTCCATCAAAATGTAACCCAAACCCAACAAATTAGTTAACAGACCAACATTGGTCGTTAATCAGGTTGGTAATGTACCTCTGCTGATCTTCCTTGGATTTTATGAAAAACCTTCTAGCTTCACGTTCATTGTCATATAAATGATCTAAAATCCTATCCAGAAATTCCTCAGAATATTCATTCCTATGTTCCTTCAACTCTACAGCCAACTGCTCAGTCCAATGAATAATGTGTTGATTTCTCATTGACTGAGACATTGAGTCAACAAAGGCACACTTCACGATTTTATTTTTTAGGTTTCTTGTTAGAGGATGAATTCATGTTGTCTTTACTCTTAGACTTATATCTAATGAGTTGTTTTTTGTTACAAGCATCAGATTGTGGTGTAGTTTCACTCTCCTCTGGTATCTCACTATCATCATCAGGAATAGGTATGGACCTACTAGATCCAATGTTAGCATACACAGGCCTAACAAATTCACCCTTAGCTTGGTCATCACCCATGATCACCTGTAAATTTTTGAAGTGAGGAAGAGGTTTGTTTATGTATGCTTTGAACTTAAATTTGGATTTGTCCTGCAATAACAAATAATCATAAATAACAAAATGTATTAATTACTAATGACAATGTAGATGTAATCATAAATAACAAAATGTATTAATTACTAATGACAATGTAGATGCTGAATGTTATACCTGAGACCACGATTTTAACGTTTCGAAATGTATTAATTACTAATGACAATGTAGATGCTGAATGTTATACCTGAGACCACGATTTTAACGTTTCGTCATCTAGTGTAATCATATTATTTGTTTCATCCCACCCAACTTTACTTATATCAAGGCAAGCCTTCATGTCATTGAATTTGTTTCTCAAGCATTTCAAATGGTTAATGACATGTATATGAGTGAAATCAGTCCTGAATTGCATGTTGATTTTCATCGCTGTTATTTTATAAGATTCTGCCTTGAAGTTCTTGTCTGACTTTAGCCCATCTAATGCTAATTCTGCAAGATAAGTAATGAGCACATCATCGTGCTCTGGAAGCCAAAACTTATTGGCCACACCTCTTGAGTTCAACCTTGTCCCCAAGACCGTTTTCCTATGAGCTTTTTTTTTCTTTTTTCATTGGTGAAGTGTGCTCCTCACCATCAACATCGTGAATAACCTTCCCAACTAAATCACCAGTGTTTGGTGAAAATTGATTAGGTCTACTACTTTAAGAACTAGTTGTGGGAAATAACAAACCTTGTGGATTGCTTAACATGCTCACGTATGATATTGACTATTGTGTCACTCCACCATAATTGACATCATATAGTGAGAATGGTGAGAATGTATGACAGGATGAAGTGAAAGGTTATGGTTGAACCTACGTGAAGTTCATGTTAATGTTAGCAGTTGGGTTTGGCGGATCGTTAGAATGAGAAGGCACGGTCTGCTTCTCTGCCTGATTGTTAGCCATACCTAATATATATTGCACAAGTAGACATTATTATTAAAGAAATTTAAATCAATATATAATATGCATGCATTTAACAAACAAGTTAGAAAAGGAATATATGAAACGCCTACATCTACATATCCACAAATCTATATCAACCTATATAATTAAATAACTGACAAATCTATATCAACACCTATATAATTAAATAACTAATAAGAATATTGAAATCGTAAAACCATATATCTACATATCCACAAATCTATATCAAGCAGTGAAACAACTATTTCATAGTTTGCACCCTAAGCATGCACGCTGATCAAACAAATATAATTAAGATTTTCATTCCATGGTTTAATCGTTTAAAGAACCGCAATAACAAAAAATCCAGAGAACCGAAAATCAATAATCAACTATGTACCAAAACCCTTGTTTCATGAGAGATTAGACATGTAATAAATTTTCAAAACCAGTGCTTTCTACTACCAATGTTAATTTCCTCAGAGCAAGCACAATGAAACTGTAATAAATTTTCAAAACCAGTGCTTTCTACTACCAATGTTAATTTCCTCAGAGCAAGCACAATGAAACGATCACATTAAAAGGGCGAAATGTTTTATACCTGCAATTGCCAAGGGAATAATTTTGAAATTGATGTCGTTGCCAACAAACCCCACCAGACGGAACATACCTACAAAACCCATCAAAGCCAATAAACCCCACCGGACAAAACATACCCACAAAACCCACCAAAGCCAACAAACCCCACCGGACGGAACAGACCCACAAAACCCACCAAAGCCAACAAAGCGTTGAGCCTCATCTTCGAAAAAGAAATCGAAGAGATGAGGCGGGATAAAGGGTCGCGGGAGAAAGCCGAAGCCAATATCTAGCGCGAAGAAGATTGAGAAGAGGTGGCGAAGCCAAATCCACCAACCGAACCCACCAACGTCATGAATCAAAGAACAGCGGGAGAGGAGGCGCGAAGAAGCTTGGGGAGAGGCGGGAGAAGAATTGTGGGAGTTGCCGATTCCAGATCTAGGGCTCGTGCTCGTGAAGATATGGAATCCGAAAACGAAGAGAAAGGATCGTTGTCAGCTTTTTTGAGCAATTCCTCTTGTGAACTTCTGATTTGGGTTTCCATAAAACATCGCTACTGTTCCACCTTTATAGATTTTGGAATCCATAAAAATTTTCTGAGCCAAACTCAAGATTAGGATTGATAAAGAATCTAAATATTACGTTTTTGCTACTGTCAGATCCAAATACCAATCCTTATCTATAAATTGGGTGAAACAAACAGCCCCTTATTCTCAGTCATCTCGGAACACCAATGAACCATGCAAACTGTCTGAAGGTATTTTATTCTGTTAATTCTCTATCATGAGCACCAATCTGCTTCTTAAGTCCCTGGAGTCATTATTAGGAAAAACTCTGTATGCTATGGCTGTAAAGAGTACCTGATAAACCTGAGTTTGCCTCGGAGGAAATTTTGTTATACTAATTTCTAGTCAGCATCCTGTGTTTTTCCCTTAGATGTTTTAACTTCTGTACCCTCACTTTGTTTTGTTTTTATTGAGTACTACCTCGTTAATTTCCACTACTTTTTTGGAGGCTTTTTTTCCTAATTTTAAACCCTCTCTTGCAGGTTAAGCTAATGTGCTCCTACTGTAGAAAACACAAGGAAACTGAAGTCCCTGATCCTTACTATGGAGGCCCCCAAGGATTTGAAAAGGTAAGCCAGATGGTTGAATCTCGCCAATTTAATCTAGAGATATACCAGAAACAAGCCTTATCCTGTAATGTCACGGGAAATATTTATTCTTATCGCATGGCGGAGTTAAACTCAAAAGTAGTTAATATGATTATGAAAAACATTATGAAGCTTCAGCATTTTATTGTTTTAAACTCGTTTGCAACGTTCAGGTTTTAGATTTACTGGAAGATGCTTGCGGCACATTACTGGACAGCATCCTGGCAGAGAACAGTCACATTACTGCGTCATAAGTTTGTTTGAGGATGCAGAATGTATACGTTATTCGAAAAGTTGCAGTATTTGGTGGCTATGCCGTGACCAATGTAAATCAATTTTATTGGAATTTTTTGTCCATAATCATCTCTGCAGAGGCAGTAAAATAAATAAAAAAAAACTCTTGTTGTGTGATCAAGGCTTGTATGATGCGTATCTGTTTTAAGAAGTGATTATGTGCTTTTTATTCGTATTTGCTCGTATGATGCGTATCTGTTTTAAGACTTGTTATGTTTGTTAATCATTTAAGACTTGTGATGTTTGTTAATCATTCTGGAGTTGCTCATGATATGTTCCGTGCTGTAGACTGTAAGTAGCGATTTTATTGTGTGAGGGAAAAAGAAAAGGAAAGTGTTTTGTGTTGTTTTGTTAATTAGGATTCTGATTACCTATTGTTTTTGCCCGAGCGTCGCATGGGAAGTAGATAGTGTTGCACGTGTATTGTGTATGGAAAAATGCTAAGGGCGTGTTTGGATGGGCGATTTTGAGCCCGAAAGCCTTCCACAGTGTCCCATCTGTGACAACTTTCGGGCAAAATCGTCTATAAAAAAAGACGATTTTGTCCGAAAGTTGCCACAGATGGGACACTGTGGCAGGCTTTCGGGCTTAAAACCTCCTCCAAAACCCGTAACCAAACGTGCCCTAAGTGTGGAGATCTAGGATCAGCAGCGCCTAATGTCAAAGTGGAGTTTTAGCACAAACAAATAATAGAGGTAAGGATTTTTTCCCCCTTCACATGACACATCCAAACTCGCAAAAATAAAATGAAATGAAATTATAAGTTTAAAACTTGGAGTTTGTCAAGACCATGTCTGCGAATAAACTTAGTATGAGTCGTTGTCAACCTTCAATCAATAATAACTTGGCATAGTCCGCATACTTCTTATAAACTAATAAGTGATATAAATAATTTAACACCAACTAGCTTCTTGTTGTTATTATTGTCATGTACCATTGTATCAAAAGTTTGTCGTCTTCTGTGAAAAAACATTCGTTGATTTGAAATCATATAAATAAGGATTTTTCAGATATTAGTCCCTTAAATCTTCCATAATTTCATATTAGTCACTCAAATCTTAGAAATTGCATTATAGGCCCTCAAATCTTAAGGGTCTTGCAAAATTGTCCCTTAGTTAGTATTTCAATTTAAAACGTAACTATGGTTGGGTTAACTTCAAACCTAACATGTGCAATCATCAAACTACCTATGTCGATGTTTCAAACCTTTGTGAAACTCATCTTTGGATTAGGTTTAACCATTGCAGAAGAAAAACTAAAGTGGATTTGGTTCTTTTACTTCAAGGTTTAAACGGGTCGGGCCCAGATAGTTGGGTTACGGGGCTAACCCGCAAAGTTTAATTAGGCCGTTGTTCTATTTCCTTTCTCTACTAAACCCACTTTTTCTCCGTCGTTCGATTTCTTCATCAATTTCCCGCAAAACCCTAGCCCTAATCTACCCTCTACCGGCGATATCACCGACGGAGCAATCGCCGATCAGGATTTCGTCATCGAAGCTTCAAAGGTATTTCTTCTCAATCTCCCAAGTTTTCGTGATTCTTGTCAACTGTAAAATTTTTATTTATTATTATTATTATTTACTATTTACGTCAACCAAATTCTTAGTGAGGATAGAAGAAAGAAGGTAAAGCCTTTGAATCCTCCAAATTATTTGAAGACACGAGTAGAAATTAATCATTATGCCTAAGATTAAGACGAGCCGGGTCAAATACCCAGAAGGATGGGAGCTTATCGAGCCCACACTTCGCGAGCTGGAGGCGAAAATGAGAGAAGGTTTGCATTAGTTTTCTCCATCACTATTGATTGATCTTCTGTTATTGTCTTAAAGATCAAATTTTGGTTGAAAGAACACATTTTTTTCACTGCACAGCTGAGAACGATCCACATGATGGGAAGAGAAAGTGTGAGGCTCTCTGGCCTATATTTCGGATTTCGCATCAGAAGAGCCGATATATATTTGATTTGTACTATCGGAGGAAGGAAATCTCAAAGGAGTTATATGAATTCTGTTTGGATCAGGGTTATGCTGACCGTAATCTGATTGCGAAGTGGAAAAAGGTTTGCTTCTGCGCTAACTTTTGTCATGCTTTCACTAGATTTATGTGTGCTTTGATACATGGAGTAATCTAATAATGTTAACTATAGAGATTCATGCTTTTATACATGTGTTTTTCGATACTTATATGGATTCGCTTCTTGTAATAAGGGGTGTTCTTATATAGTAAAGCAATGGGAAAAGAATATTGTATAATAACATATTCAAAAGGAAGGCTCTCAAATGAAGTAGTGGACAAATTATACGCTTGAAACAAGTACCTATGTAGATGAACTACCCCAAATGGACATTTGTGTCATAGTAGATGAGCACGGCGGTTTTAGTAGGTTCAATTTGATAACACCTGTAAGTTATTCTTTATTCTTTCAATGCCCCAAATTGCTTTGTACTATTTTTGTCACTAATGGTGGGTAAAGATGGTCTGATAATGCTTAAGTCTTTTTTGGCGAGATTTTTCTTCTTGAGGTTATCTTTCTTACACTTTTAACATAATTAATGCTAATCGCAATTCTAATGTAAAATGGATTAAAGTTATGGTTATTTGAGAAAAGCTAAGTTGCAGAGAGCTACCATGAGTTATCTATTGTTCTCTACTCTATTCTTTTTCCAAAAACCGGTCTACAATTTTTGTTTTGTTTTTGGTGTTGAATTAAGCACTCGTAAAATTACACAGCTGAGAAGTTCTCTTGTGTTCTTAGGTATTTATTTTTGTTCCAAAATGTTGTTGCTAGACCCTTGTTAGCCTAAAATTAAAACCAACATGAAACTTTCACCTGCTGTTCAAAGCTACTATTGCATAACTCATTGCCCAAATTCCTTGGTGTTTGCTTTTTACTGTTAAAATTGCCAGAAAACTATATTTAGCTTGCTTTATTGTTTGTAGCTCCCTCTGATTTTGCCATTTATGAAAAACTATCTATGTTATCTCAGTGGTCTGCATAAAGAGACAAACTCCATCAAATTCATCTGTTTAATACAACTCGAAAGAACCCAATGAACCCAAACACTGCCAGTTTTCCACTCATGCTCACAGATCATCATGATTAGCAGTAGCCACATTTCTTTCAACAAATTGTAACCCTACCCTAAATTGTAGAGGAGAGAATAATGATATGGAACATGAACAGAACTGCGTCATTGTAGTAAGATAACCACTGCAACATTTCTTCCCAGCAAACCTTGTTGTGTTGATTGTGCAGTTTCTTATAGGCATTTTACTTCACTCTTTATTTTCTAATTATACGTTTTCCCTTTATCTTTTGAGTTTTTGCAGTCAGGCTATGAGCGCCTTTGCTGCCTTCGGTGCATACAGCCACGGGATCACAACTTTGGGACCACTTGTGTTTGCAGGGTTCCAAAGCACCTCAGAGAAGAAAAGGTCATAGAATGTGTCCATTGTGGTTGCAGGGGCTGTGCGAGTGGAGACTGAAGTTTGGTACTTGGTGCATGTCATTAGATGTCAGCCATCAACATGCAAACCAGGTCCGCCAAAAATTAACTCGTAACATGGCCCTTCACATTTGAATTTAAGGCATATACTTCCCATTACTTCTGAAGTCAGTATATGTGAGTAGGAAAAGAACCATTTGATATTAATCAGCTTGTTGGCATCTGGAATTTGTGGAAGCAGCTCCGAGTTCTTTAAGCTATGAACTAAAAACTTGTCATAAATAATGGAACTATGACTACTGCAATCCATTGTACTCTTTATATTCGATGTTGTATGCTAATTTGGTTCCCATCAAACATATATATTCTATGTTCATCATGTGTTGTGTAACTTGTGTTATCCTGTGATATGGAAGGCTGTGCTTCCTTCATTTTTTATATTTCAGTAATTTTTTTTTTTTGAATCTTATTATTTCAACCACTTGTCATGTGGACTTTTTTTAATTGTTTTCAATATCCTGTTCCACTTACTCTTTTTTGTGAACTAACTGGTGTCACTCTATGAGTCTATGACGCTAGATAACAATAATTTATTGCACTATAGTACAAAGTATGTGATGAGGACAATAATGATAATTTTCCATAGTTGTTAGACTTTCTTTTATTTTAGTTTTTAATAAGGAAGATTTGACAAGTTTGACCAGATCTTAATTTAGTTTTAATTGTGATTAATTTAGTTTTAATTGTGAGAGATTTGAGGGATTTCTATTTTGGTAGGATTTTAATTTTGAATTTTGAATTTTTGGGTCAAATTTGGTAGTAGAGTCAGTTGTAGCAATTTGAGTGATTTGAGGGATTTCAGAATCTGTAATTTTTTCTCTTTAAAAGATTGTTGTAATCAGATTTTAGAGGAGAAAATTTGAATCAATGAAAAATTTTGTTAACTTATTATTGGTGTGAAGCCTCGGGTATGAAACCCTAGGCCGACGGGTGTGAAACTCTAGGCCGACTCCCCTGACTCCTCTTCCACAAACAGTCGCCACCTCCCCTGTTTCTTCTTCGTTTTCCCAAATTACCGCCCCCACTCTTCTCCTCCTCTAGTAGCCTTCGCCGTCGCCTCCTCCCCTGCTCCCTTCCACTTTGAGCAGCCCCGCCAATCACCCCCCACTTCTACTCAAACAGCCGTCGTTGTCGTCTCGCCCGCGTCCACTCATCGACCATATTCTCTCGTCACCCACGTCGCCAGTTTACACGTTGACCCGTCACCCTTGTCGTCGCTCAGATTTGCCGCCGTCGTCGTCGCTCAGTCGCCGTCGTTGTCGTCGCTCAGTTCGCCGCCGCGTCGTCATACAGTTCGACGTCGTCGCACCACCTCCAGAGGTCTTTCATGTCGAGCTTGTGTAGACCGACAAAGGTTTCGTTTTCTCTCTATTTTTTCTGTTAATCTCATTTTATTAGTTAATTGCATGAGTATTCCATCTCTAAACTATTATCATATATTCACTGTTTAGATTATATTTGTGAGTTGAGAGTAATTGATCATGTGACTGTTAAAATTTGATATTGATTGTAGAACTTGTGCATGATAATAAATATTATAATTAAATTGTTTGAGATGAGAATTATTCATAATTATTGGTGCAAACTTTGTTAAATCCATCTGTCACATTAGTTGTTTTGAATTTAATTCCTGCCAAAGATCATGAAATTTGGTGAAACGATGTGTTATTTGAATTAAATCGCTGATTCTGATAGACCCCCTGTCCCGTTTCACATCAGTATGAGAACCATAATTAATCTGTAACTATCCAAATGTGCCCTTAATGATATTCCTAAAGTTCTCTCCTGCCCTTTCTATGTGTGCCCGTGCGCCTGCGTGCATTTGTATAGTTACATAAAAGGAAAACCATAATGACACTTATCCTTTCTGTTTTTCTCTTAGATGTATTATTTCAACTGATTTTTCATCTTTTTAAATTCAACAAAGCCCTATTTCATGTTTATATTCATGAGCCATGTGGACTCATGCGGACATTAATGTCCATGTGTTGTATCATGTCCCTGCAGTTTTCGCAAAAAAAGAACACTAGTTGCCACTACATGGATCGTGCAAGTTGATGTACGCGCATATAAGCACGATCATGCGATCTGTCTGCATAGTCCATATCCATACACATAGTTGCCTGATTATCTGTGTTTCTCACCATGTGATAATGTAGGATCGTTTCCCATTAATGAGATTGCAGCTGTGATTGTCGGTGCATGATTTTAATTCTAAAGGGCTTAGTTGAAGAATTATCTTAAACTTTTTCCATATCCTTGACACAGTTTTTCGCCCCATGTCAACATACTGTCTTTCAGAAGTTCAAATCTATGACAGCCAAGAGTTATCCTTATTGAGAGGTCAAGACCATGATGTTTTCTATTGAGAGACGATTTTGCATAGGGAGAATAAAGGGTTCAAGTCACCCAAGTGGACTCAGGAGATGGATTTTCCTTTTCTTTCCCACAACTATAAGTACAGATTGTTCATTATTCTATTCCTGTTTTATATAAAGCTCTCGTCAACTTGTTCCACTTCATTCATGTTAGTCATGCTGAGACCTGCTGCTCGTGAGAAGTATCTTATATACTTCTAAGTTCTAGACATCATATGGTGTTGTAATAATCGAGAAGGATGGTTATAGGCTCTTAGGTACCTTTTCTACACAGGTGGGGAAAAATGACTGTTTTGCAGTTCAGTTAGTTTTCTCCATTTTTGTTGGCTTTAATGCTTCCTATTATTAGGATCAAGAAAGGAGAAACAATATATGTATGGATACCATTAAAAGAACACAAGAGAAAGGATTCTTTTGAGGCAGCTGTTTGGTTGTGAGAGAACACATGAGACATGTTTTAACAGTGTTTAACAAAATTTGCTCAAACCCATTGTTTAGTTGTATACAGTATACTAACTTGACACATGTAGATCGGGAGATACATTGAACCCTTGCACGTGCATGGGTAGTGGGTGGCCAATTACAGCTACTCAACCATATCTAAGGAGAATAGGATGCGTCTCTTATTCCCCACTACCATCCTCTTCAGTATCAGAATCTGGAAGAACCTAAGTCAAGCCCGAAACAGTCCCCTCAGTAATTTACATATTCTTCTCACATAAATAAATAATGGTCATGAATCATGATGCAGTACTAGGCATCTGGGTAGACAGAAAGATTTACTTGTTTCACAGGAAATAAAAGTAGGGAAGAGATTTATTCTTGAGATATAGTTTGTTGTTAGAGAACATATGTTTCTCCTAATGTTTTCCTTGCTGAACCAGGCATCTTAAGGGACAGGATAAACCTTTATATTTCCAGTGGTTGTGAAACTGAAACAATATGTTACTCTCTCTTCCCATGAAGAACCTTGTTTCTTCTTACATGAGACGCTATCTCTCAGCAGAGATATATCATTCATTGCGCATCTGTGTTGAAGAAAGCACAGATCTCATGCTATTTTATCTATTATTACCATGCTTCATAATTCTCCGACACAAAGATATTGAGGTAACCAAGAGTAGCTAGGTTATTGGAATGGTAAAAACGAGGATTTGTGGCTATAAATTGGGATTGTCACAGATAATATACTCACTTTCCTGTCTCTTAAGAAGACTAAAGACTACTGCTACAAATTTATGATATGTTAACGTGTTGTACAGTAAGTATGTAGGATATAAGGAAATGAAAATTGTTATCTGAAGTTTCTTGTTCAATCGACACCGCAAACCACGGCACTGAAGTAATCTGCGCTCTTCACCGCTTAGCAATCCGTCTCTTTAACGAGGATTTGTGGTTATAAATTGGGATTGTCACAGATAATATACTCGTTTTCCTGTCTGACTGAAGACTACTGCTACAAATTTATGATACGTTGACGTGTTGTACAGTAAGTATGTAGGATATAAGGAAATGAAAATTGTGATCTGAAGTTCTCTTTATGGGAATACAGTCTGCACTTTATAAATTTGTTTTGGTTAACAGAAACAGAAGAAGATATGACAAGTTAAATATAATGTTCAAGATAATTAAATTGATAGATTAAGACGGTCATCAGATAGTTGTTGATGTCTCCTAGTCAATTTCAAGGCAAGGGAATATGGATGTCAATATTGTTTTTAAGATCATGAATTTACTCATGAACATAAAAGCAGTAAAATGAAATACTTAATTTCTGAAACTGGAATATGTGGAAAATATAAAAAAAAGTTCCCGATGATCTTAAGATCTCTTAAATATAATTTGCTATGACCTCAGATCTTTTTGAGAAGTTTGTGTTATAGAAAAGTACTAACATAAATGGATTATGTTGGTAGATAAAACTTCGTCATGCTACTTTATCCAGTCTTTTTGTTGTTCTATTTTCGGATTGCTCTCAACTGGGTGATTAAGAAAACTCATGCTACTTTATCCAGTCTTTTTGTTGTTCTATTTTCGGATTGCTCTCAACTGGGTGATTAAGAAAACTAGTGAACGATGAACAAATTTGGGTATTGTTCTATTTTCGGATTGCTCTCAACTGGGTGATTAAGAAAACTAGTGAACGATGAACAAATTTGGGTAGGTTATAAATTTTATTTGATGGGATATTGCTTAACAACAATATATAGGGATCATGTCCTAATGAATGAGATAGTCTGCTCCTGTCGTATACGATTTTCTTCCCTTGAGGTGCAGCTTACAGAGTGCCCTAAAGATATTTCTTATAAGAAAATATTTTCTTGAACTTCCCATATTGAGCTCTATGGGTCTTGTGTTAATCAATAGTTCCATCTTTAAACTGTTGAATAAACAATGGAGGATGCTGACTTTGTACAAAGATTTTGGTTGATACTAATATTCCAAATCATTGCAAATGCTTCTAGATTTGTTTCATAAGAACAAAATGTTCTTAGTTTCCCACAGTTTTCCTTGTATAAATTTAAAGGCTTCACTGCATTCCTGAAACAGAAAGAACTTTGTCATGTAAAGGTATTTGGATGGAGATTTCTCATTTCCTTGTGTGATGAAATTACTTATTTATGTTATGTTATTCATCATCAAAACTTTGCTGCTCAATTTTTTGACGATGTAATGGTGTTTGTATGGTTTAACTTCAGGCAGCTTCTGTATGAGGGTTTATATGAAGTGTTATACTCTTTTCTTGTTTTATGAACTGTGGCACTCTTATTTGTTCTTGACAATGTGATGTGGCTTGCTGGAAGTAGAATTTGAATCCTAGACCTATGCATGCTGTACAAAATTTTCACGGCTGTTAATCTGGTATTTGCAGATGTGGTAACCTGATTGGCTGATGTAGATTTTTTCTTCTTTTCTTTTGATTATTATTTCTGTCGTTAGAACTGGGGCAAAATGAACATTTTTTTGGTTAGATCTTTGAAACAGTTAATGTA